AAGTTCCAACCCCCATTGAGGCTTTGGTAACTGTCACGCCTTCAAGGTAGGGCTGAGAGAGGAAGCTGAAGACCCGAGATCTGGATGCGCCGGCTCTCTTGGTTCCTGGACCCTGGACACTGGAGGTAGACCAAGCAGAGTTCTCCAGAGACACTGCCGGACTGTGCCACACCTTTCCCAGACCCTGTAGCCTATCCTTTCACTTGTAAGTTACCCCACAAAATAAATCTCCCTTTTAACTACGTGGAGTGGCCTTAATAATTTCACCAATAGCAATCCACAGAACCAGGGAGGCTATATAGCAAGGGGGACCCTAGGATGACTGTGGCTTATAATAAGTTTTGGTTTTACTCAATCACTGGGCAAGCTTAAGTGCAACATTTCACTATTAGGATAAGAATTTGTACTGTATTAAACTGATAATAGAAAAAATAAAATAAAATAAAACATAAAAAAAGAAAGTTGTGAGAATATCTGGGGAAGAAGTTTGTGAACAGCTCTCTACAAAGGGGAAGGATGTGAAGATACTTTTGTCCCATGTAAATGCTCATCAAAAGGTGACTTCAGCAGAGGAGGAGTTCAGTAATCAAGGAGACAGAATGACCTGTTCTGTGGACAGTCAGCCTCTTTCCCAATCCATCCCTGTCCTTGTCCAGTGGGCCTATGAACAAAGTGGGCACGGTGGCAGAGATGGGGGTTATACATGCACTTGACAACATGGGCTTCCACTCACCAAGGGTGATGTGGCTACAGCTACTGCTAAGTGCTAGATCTGCCAACCACAGAGACCAACACTGAGCCCCCTAGTATGACACCATATGGTGGCCATCCAGCAGGTGCCAGGTTGACTACATTGGACTACTTTCTTCATGGAAAGGACACTTTGTCCTTACTGGAGGAGATTATACTGGTCATGGATTTGCCTTTCCTACATGTAATGCTTCTGCCAAAATCACCATCTGTGGACTTACAGAATGCCTTCCTTATCCACTGTCATGGTATTCCACACAGTATTGCTTCTGATCAGGGAACTCACTTCAAAGCCAGAGGACTGCAACAGTGGGCACACACTCATGAAACCCACTGCTCTTACCATGTTCCCTAACCATCCGAAAGCATTTGGTCTGATATGAGTGAAACAGCCCTTTGAAGACAGAGTTACAGCACCAATTAGGCGGCAGCAGTTCGGAGGGCTGGGGAGGATCCCCCAGAAGGAATTATTGAATCAACATCTACTATATGGTGCATTTTTTTCCCATAGCCAGGATTCATAAATCCAAGAGTTAAGGGATGGGAAAAAAAGTTCCAGTCAACATCACCTCTAGTGACTCAGTAGGAAATTTTTTTGCTTCTGTTCCTAAGACCTTAAGCTCTGAAGGCTTAGGAGTTTTGGTTTCAGAGGGGCCAGTGTAGTGCCAGGAGACACAACAAGCATTCCATTGAACTAAAGCCAGACTCCCCACCCCACCCCTTAACCCCCACCGACTTTGGGCTTCTGATACCTTAAGTTAAAAACAGGTTAAGAAAGGAATAGTAGTGTTAGGAGGGGTGATTGATCCAGATTACCGTGGGGACATTGGATTGCTTCTCCACAATGCAGGTGAGAAGGATTATGCCTGCAGTGCAGAGGATCCTTTAGGGAGTCGCTTGATCCTACCATGGCCTGTGATTAAAGCCACTGGGAAACCACAACGTAATCCAGGCAGGGTGACAAAGGGCCCTGCCAGTTTGGAAGAAGGTATGGGTCATTCCTCCAGGAGAAGAACCCAAACTTGCCGAGGGTGGAGGAAATACAGAGTGAATAGTAGAGGAAGTTAGAAGTACCTGCTAAGGCCATGTAACCAATTGCAGAAACGAGTATAATTGGCATAAGTGCCTCTGTCCTACTTTGTTAAGAACCTGTTTGTGCCGATCTACATGTATACTAATCCATTTGCCTTTTCTTTCCTCTATCATGTAATGTAACATTGATTGAGATAATATCAGTGCTTAAGTGCTTAAGATCTGTTCGACCACATTTTTTTTTTAAATTTATTTTTATTTTATGAGAATTGGTGTTTTTGCCTGTGTGTATGTCTGTGTGAAGGTGTCAGAAGCCCTGGAACTGGAGTTACAGACAGGTGTGAGCTGCCATGTGGGTGCTGGGAATTGAACCCGGGTCTCTGGAAGAACAGTCAGTGCTCTTAACCGCTGAGCCATCTCTCCAGCCCCCTGTACGACCACACTTAAATCACAAGACACTAAAACATTAAGCATTCCCTAGGGGACTTTGCCATCTATCCTAAAATGTATGATGTGTCTGTAGTTGTGTGTGGGATAGTTCTGAGGTGGAGTTATGACCCAGCTGTTGTCATTTGGGCATTAATCATGATCAGTATACACAAGCAGTAATTCTTTGGCAAAGCAATTGAAGCTTGAAGTTTTCAGGGGACAAGAGAAAGGTGATAAGGATCCACACATAAAGCAATAAATGTCAGTTTCCAATTACAACACAAAAGGGGAGTGACTAAAGCAGAGTTCTCTGGTAGGGTCAACTAAAGGCTAAGATCAATTAGGAAATCTAGGAATAGCACCTGCCTGAGGAGGAATCAAAACTTAATTTGCACAAAAAGAAACTTGGCACCTATGGCCTGCCTGGCCTTGAAGGCAATCTCCTTGCATCAGTGGGGAGTAACTAACCTTGACTCAGCAACTAGCAAGTGACTAAAACATCATCCCAGGAATGTGAGCAGTAAATCTCTTTAGTTAGGGTCTGTAAATAACCTGGAGTGAAGGTAAGGAGTTGAGGATTTAATTGTTAGTGGTTATTTTCCCTTATCTGTAAGTGAGATGAGCTATTGTTTATCTATGTGCAGTTTTGTCCTTGGAAAAAGGTATCTTAGCTGAAATACTTTTGTCTGGAGAATGGTCCTGGCCAGATGTATGTTAATAAAAAATAAACAGAAACACAACTGGGGACAGTTATCCAGTTACCCCAAATGTATAGGAAAAGTCGTGCCCAAGATTGAGATTCAATCGTGAGATTACATGTGTACACATAACATGGAGGTGCACGGTAAATGGGGAGAATCATAGCTGTTATTGCACAACAAGTTTACAATAAGAGACAGCCAGTTCATTCAAAAGGCAGTAGTTTCACAACGCCTTGCATGATGGTTTCCTCTAACAGAACCCTTAGTTCTGATTGGTTGACCTTCTGAACTCTAGTTGTCACTGCTGTATAGCCTTGCATGATGGTTTCCTCCAACAGAACCCTTAGTTCTGATTGGTTGACCTTCTGAACTCTAGTTGTCACTGCTGTATACTCCATGGACTTTTGCTACCAGCAGCTCTCAATAAGATTGCCTGAAGCAGGGAGACTCATTCTAAGTCTAGGTGGCACCTTCTGGTAGCAGCCCATATCAAAGAACCTGAGAGAAGAAAACTGCTTTTTGCCTGCTTGCCCTCACTCTCACTGGCAACTTCATCTTTTCTGTTGCTGTGGCATTCTGTCATCCATATTAGAATCAACTTCTTCAGGATGCCAGTGTAGACTGGATGAGCAGCTGGTCAGGAGTCCTCCAGACCTCCATTGGCAGTTTGGAACTGCTAAGACATCCAACCTTGTGGACTGGGCAACTACTGGATTCTCAGCCTCTCCAGTGTGAAACAGCCATTGTTGGACTACCCAGACCATGGCCTGCAAGCCAGTTTAACAATCCTCTTTTAATATATATGTATGTATGTATGTATGTATGTATGTATATATATATATATATATATATATATATGTGTGTGTGTGTGTGTGTGTGTGTGTGTGTGTGTGTGTGTGTGTGTGTGTGTATTCTGGGATCCTATTCCTTTAAGCAGTGGTTCTCAACCTTGCTAATGCTACGACTCTTTAATACAGTTCCTTATGTTGTGGTGACCCCCAACCATAAAATCATTTCATTGCAGGAAGGAGTGCGGTGGTGGTGCACTCCTTTAATTCCAGCACTCAGGAGGCAGAAGCAGGTGGATCTCTGTGAGTTTGAGATCAACCTGGTCTATGGAGCAAGTTCCAAAACAGCCAAGGCTACACAGAGAAACCTTGTCTCATAAAACAAAACAAAACAAAAATTATTTTGTTGCTACTTCATAACTTTTATGTAATTTTGCTGTTGTTATGAATTGTAATATAAATATCTGTTATTCAGGATATCTGATATATGACCCTAAAGGGGAGAGACCCACAGGTTGAGAACCACTGCTTTAGAGAACCCTGACGAATACAGTGTGTCTGTGTGTGTCTGTGTGTGTGCATGGGCTGGGGGCATTTGTGTATGTGAGTGCAAGTGCCCTTGAGGCCAGAGGCATCCAATTCCCCTGGAATTGGAGTTCCGTGTGTGTGTGTGTGTGTGTGTGTGTGTGTGTGTGTGTGTGTGTGTGTACATGCTAGTGCACATGGAGGCCAGAGGATAACATCAGGTTTTGCTCCCCTCTCAGGTGTCATCCACCCTGTTCTTTGAGACAAGGACACTTGCTAATTAGAGCTTACCAGGCTGTCTAGGGAGCTGCAGGGAGCCTCTGTCTCTGCCTCCCCAGCACTGGGATCACTGCGTGTAGAACCACGCAGCTTTAAATGTGTGTTCTGGGGATAAAACTCCAGTCCTCAGGCTTGCATAGCACGCGCTTGACCAACTGGGTTATCTCTCCACATCAGCAGTTATTTAAACGCTTACAAACAGAGAGGTAAAGGCAAAGGCTTGGGGTATGCTCCCCAAACTCAAAGTTCGGCATTTCCTCGCAAAAGAAAGGTGGCATAATTCATGCCAGAGTCTTCAAGGAGGCGCTTCCCAAGCCAGCTGCCATCTTCCGTGTTGTCCCTGGATTACGCAGACCTTCCACTAGCGGCCTTGGAAACCTTGTGGAGCCCCTCTCTCAGACACTGAAAAGTCAGCAGTGAGCCTGCACGCACAAAAGTACCTGGCCGGCAGAGGGCGGAGCTTGCATGTGACGTAGGGTCTGGCGCGTTCCTCGTTCGTTACAGCGTTGGCTCCTGAGCCTAACCGTGGTCCTGTTGTCACACCTGTGCCGTGGTGTCAGTTGTAGGGTTTATTGTTGCTTCCTAAGAGGCCTTGGGTAGTGCCTTCATCCACCTGGGAAGGAAAGCATTTAAGCCACTGTGGGGATGAGGAAGGGAGGAGCCTGCTGGGAAGGAGGAGCCAGCAGGAAGGGAGGAGCCTGTCTCCACAGTCCTCTGCTGTACAAGGTTGCACTTTGCTTCCACACTCTAGTCAGGGAACTCTCTGGCTTCCCTCCTCCCCCCAGCTGCTGTGATCTGCATACTCAAGAGGTAGCTCCTAGGTCAGGTATTGTGGCACAGGCCTGTAAGTGCAGGAGGATTGCCATGAGTTCAGGCCAACCTAGACTACATAGTGACTCCCTGGCCAGTCCTAGATACATTGTGAAACCCTGCCTCAACTCCACTCCTCACCAAAAAAATGGTTGTTCCATGTCTTGGCTGTAGGGGTTCGTGTCCACTGAAATTTTCTTCTACTCCTTAGGCTCAGCATGTCCACTGTCAAGGAGCAGCTCATTCAGAACCTAACTGAAGAAGATAAAACCTCCCGGTGTAAGATCACTGTGGTCGGAGTTGGAAATGTCGGCATGGCCTGTGCTATTAGTATCTTACTGAAGGTAAGTAGTTAAAGTCTTTTGTGCAGGAAATCAAGTAAGCTCTCAGGTCAGGGTTGCAGGGCTGATCCCTTAACAGAAATACAGAAAATCTGTGGTGTTGACAGATTTAAGCATTTGCTAGGTGTGGTTTTTGGCACAGGCCTGTAATCCTAGTAGGTTTTCTTGGTAGGCTGAGGCAAAGAAGGTCAGGAGGTCAAGATCATCCATAGCTACAGACCAAGTTTGGGGCCAGGCTGGACTATGTGAAATTCTTGGGGAGAGTGAGAAGAGAGGAGGAGGAAGGAGAGAGGAAAATGGGAGAGAGAAAGAGGATAAGAAGAGAGGGAGAGATGGGTGTGACTCACACTGTGGTGCCAGCCAAGCAGCTTGCCTGGGCCCTGGCCTTCTGAGCACAGATGTTGTGGTCCTAAGTGCTTCACTGTCACTTTGAACATTGTTGGAAACTTGCAGAGGGATATAAGAAGCAAAGTCAGTTCAATTCCAAAACCCAAAGGCTGAGGAATTGGAAGTGCTGGATGCCTCAAAGGTGGAGATGATGAGGAGGAGGTGGGAAGTATCTGAGGAGACACAACTGCCAGGTTCTCTTCTGCATCTTAATCAACCAGGTGGTACTACACCCCACCGCCACCACAGGCACATCCCACTTGGCTTGGGGAGGTAGTTATCTCTTTTTGCTGTGAATAGACAATTAGAAAGCAGACTGCCAGGGCTGGGGAGGTGGCTCAGTGTGTAGAGCACTTGCCACACAAGTGTGAGGACCTGAGTTTGAAGCCCCCAATACCTACATAAAGCTGGACATGGTCATGTGTGTCTGTGGTCCCAGCACTCCTACAGACATAGGAAGTGGAGGCAGGTGGCTTTCTGGAAGTTCAAATGCTAGTTAGCCTGGTGTATGCAACCAGAAAAAAAAACCAACAAAAAAACCCCAGAGGCCCAAGTGTTAGAGAGATGGCTCTGAGGTTAAGAGCACTAACTGTTCTTCCAAAGGTCCTGAGTTCAATTCCCAGCAACCACATGGTGGCTCACAACTATCTATAATGATATTTGATGCCTTCTTCTGACATTCAGGCAGAACACTGTATAAATAAAAAATAAATAAAATCTTTAAAAAAAAACCCAAAACCAGAGACCCTGTTTCAAGCAAGGTGGGAAGTGAGGGTCCATACCCTTGGTAGTACTGCCCCTAACATCCACACATGTGCTGTGGCATGTGCACCATGCTGCATGACTGACTGAATACACATATATTACACACGTACACAGATAAAAGTAATAACTTAAGAAAATATACCACTGGGGAACTGCACATATCCAAAAGAGGAACAGACCATGACTTCCCATCATGGTTAATTGAAACTTCAGTAGGAACCTAGAAGGGAACAGTTAGACAACAGAAAGTTAACGACTGAGTGATGTCACAACCAACTGAAAAAAAGGCTGGAGAGACAACTCAATGATTGACATTCCAGGGCCTGGAGACATGACCCAGTGATTGACATTCCAGGGCCTGGAGACATGACCCAATGATTGAGAGCACTTGTTGCTCTTCCAGAAGACCTGGGTTTGGTTCTGAGCACCACACCAGTAGCTCAGAACCACTTGCCACTCTAGTTCCAGGGGATCAGCTGCCCTTTTCTGGCCTCTGTGCCCACTGTATGCATGTGTTGTATAGACATACATCAGGCAAAAGACATTTGAACAAACAAAGGACCTATTCTACCTGGCACTTGAGAAACAGAGACAGGAGGTTTGCAAGTCTGAGGCCAGCTAGAACTGCACAAGACCCTGTCTGAAAAGTTCCACCCATGCCAGTGAGAAAAAGAATCATGACATCGGTGTATCGAGAGGTGTTATTTAACACACAGAAGGGATGAGTGTAGGAGTGGGAGAAGCACAGGCTGCTGTCGTGTCCTAGTGGGACAAAGTGTCAGCCTGGTCTACAGAGTAAGTTCTAACATAGCCCTCGACACAGAAACCCTGTCTTGAACTCCCCCCAAAGAAAACAGAAAGAAAGAAAAAAATTTGTTTTTCAGGCCTGATGATAAATGCCTGAGGCAGGAGGATTACTAGTTCGAGGCTAGCCTGTATTATATAGCAAGACCCTATTTCAAAACAGCAATAGCCAGCTATCAGGGTGGAGATGCCTAGCAAGCACAATGCCCTGGCTTTGATCAATAAGACCAAATACACCTTGCTTGGTGGCTCACACCTATAATCCTAGTACCAGAAGGTGGAGCTATGAGGACCAGAAGAAGTTCAAGGTCAACCTCAGCTACATTGCAAGCATGAGGCCATCCTGGGAAACATGAAACCCTGTAACAACAACAACAACAACGAGAAAAAAAAAACCCACACATGCAAACATCAGAAACTACTTAAAATTTGCTGTCACTCAAAACACAGCATTTCTAGTTTGCATCTTTTTAGGTTCCATCAATAGGTAACGCTAGAGAAAACTGAAAGGCTAGAGGAGAGCCTTGGCCACCCCCTCAACCACTGCCACCTGATGATCTGGCCACTGTTATTTCACTTGGAGATATTGGCCCATTTCAGAGCTCATTTCTGGCCTCCAGCTTCTCCCCTTCAGTGGCTTTGGCAGAGGAGCCCCTCCCTTTGCCTCCTGTGTTCTAGCCTAGGAGTGGTTGCTTGAGACCCATCTACAAGTTTTGGGTTACCTCAATGTCCCCTTTACGTCTTTCCACCCTGTCAGCTACTCCTTTATTAATTTCTCTGTTGAAAATCTTCAAGTGATTTCTGATTTACCAACCACACCCAGATTGACATAGACCTAAATTTGTAGGTATGGTCTAGTTTCCTTTCACTGTGTGAAATTTCTCTTCTTTCCATTCTATATACACAACATAATTTAGTCAATGTTGGGATCCACTCAGCCCTCCATATAGACACAGAGACACCCATGTATTTAACCAATTATGGGTTGAAAATTTAAAACTTGTGTGGCCTGAACATACAAAGACCATTTGTATCATGATTCTCTAAACAGTGCAGTGCATTAGAGACTGGAGAGCCGGATGGCTCAGCAATAAGAGCACTGGCTGTTCTTTCAAAGAATCCAGGTCCAATTCCCAGCAGCCACACTCTGTCCCAGGAGATTCAGTGTCTTCCTCTGGCCTCAGTGGGCAGCAGGCAAGGGTGCACTGACTTAAATGCAGACCAAGCTCCCATGCACATAAAATAGAGTTATAAAAGTAAAAATGAGGGTTGGCGATTTAGCTCAGTGATAGAGCGCTTGCCTAGCAAGCACAAGGCCCTGTGTTCAGTCCTCAGCTCAAAAAAAAAGTAAAAACGATGCAGTATGCCAACTATTTGCATAGTATTTCTGTTGTATTAGCTTTTAGTTGAAATCTAGAGATTATTTTAAAATACACAAGATGTGCGTAGGTTATGTGCAAATGATCTACCAAGAGCCATGGCTATTCTCATTGGTAACTGAGGCACGTTCTGGAGCCCATCACTCAGGCACTGATGGAGAGCTCCGTATCATTTTTTGGAAGAGCTGCATGGTAACTGCTTCAAGTAGAGCAGCAGCTGACAGATGCCCCTTTTCTTACTCTGAGCTATTAGAATGTAGTCATTGGAACCAAAGAGAATACATATCTCTTTTTTCCTTAATTAATTTTATTCATTTTTTTGTTTGTTTGTTTTTGTTTTTCGAGATGGTTTCTCTGTACAGCTTTGGAGCCTGTCCTGGAACTGACTCTGTAGTGGCTAGCCTCAAACTCAGAGATCCACCTGCCTCTGTCTCCTGAGTGCCGGGATTAAAGGAGTGTGCTATCACTGCCCAGCTTAATTTATTTATTTTTAGTTTATGTGCATTGGTGTGCATTTGCCTGCATGTATGTCTGTGTGAGGGTGTCAGATTCCAAGAGTTACAGACAGTTGTGAACTGTCAAGTGGGTGCTTGGAATTAAACTTGGGTCCTTTGGAAGAGTAGCCAGTGCTTTTAACCACTGAGCCATCTTTCTAGCACTGAGAATGGATTTTTGTTTGTTTGTTTGTTTGTTTTATTTTGATTTATGGTCTTATTACATAGCTGTGGCTGTGCTGGAACTCATTATGCAGACCAGCCTCGCCTCGGACTCACAGAGATCCCATCTGTCTCTGCCCCACAAGTGCGGGGATTAAAGGTGTGGTCACTGTGTGTTACCACTGCCTGGCTGAGAATAAATTTCTTAATAGTCCTATAATCTCTGGTTGTGACAAAAATCCAAATAGAGTTAGAAAAAAACCAGGAATGTGTAGTCGAATTGTAATCCCAGCCCGTGGGAGCCTGAGGCAGAAGAATCATGAGTCTGAGATGCACCTGGATCGTATCAGCATGGCTTGTCTGAATGACTGGAAATTGAGGAATAACCAACTAGCTTGAGATACTCTTGCAGCCTAGAGGCCAGGCACATAAGGCACAGTCTCAGAATAGATTGTCCTCTATTGAGTTCCTTCTTAGGCACTGTCTTTCTATGTGATAGTAAATACAGTTGTTCAGGCCAGGCTTGATGACACACTCGTATAATATCAGTATTTTAGGAGGTAGACTGAGGAAGATCAGGAGTTTAAGGGACCATCCTCAGCTGCATGGACAATTTGAGGCCAATCTGTCCTACATGAGAATCTGTCTCAAAAAAGGCAAGGGACAATACAGTTTGTTCTCAGAGTGTTATGTTATAATTTGATATGTTATAGTAATGTTATATAATATGTTTATAATTTAAAAGAAAAGTGGTCAAAGCTCACAGACACTGTGTTTGTCATGCTAGACCACCTGTGTGTGTTCAGAATGGATTAATTATCAGGGGTTTTGATAGATATCTTTTTATATGAATACAGTAATTGTACACCAGTGAGCACAGCTGGTGAGTTCCCAGTCCAATGAGGATTTTTATTACCAAGGAGGAGGGTTGATACTGGGGCCAGTATGAAAGTGAGGTGAGTGATAATGAAAGACATCGTAGGTGGCTTCTCTCTGTTTGGCCATAAGGATGCACAGTAAAAGCAACATTAGCAGCTTGATACCTGGCTTGATGTTAAACACAGTGAAAAACCTTTGGACAGAATTCCTTCACTTTTCATTGTGTTTAAGGTGTTATTTAAAGACTCAGTTCTAGGTGGATGGAGAGATGGTTCAGTAGTTTAGAGTGCTTGCTACTCTTACAGCATCTACATCAAGTAGCTCACAGCTACCTGTAACTCCAGCTCCAGAGGATCTGGCGCCCTCTTCTGGTCTTGGAGTATGACACACATGTTACACATACACACCATGGAGATACACACAAACTAATAAATAAAAATAATCAGCCAGGCGGTGGTGGCGCACGCCTTTAATCCCAGCACTCGGGAGGCAGAGCCAGGCGGATCTCTGTGAGTTCGAGGCCAGCCTGGGCTACCAAGTGAGTCCCAGGAAAGGCGCAAAGCTACACAGAGAAACCCTGTCTCGAAAAACCAAAAAAACAAACAAACAAACAAAAATAATGAAATATACTCAAAAAAAATGAAATATAATCTCTAAAAAAAGATCTAAAGACACAATTCTATAAAATTCTTATAGATTTGTAAAGGTAAAGCAATTGATACTTCTTCTACATTCTATTCCTCTCTCTGCCCTGGAACCCTTTTGGTCTCCTAAAAGTTTGGACCATGGCATTTATAACTTTTATGTGTTTCAGGATTTGGCTGATGAACTTGCCCTTATTGATGCTGATGCAGACAAACTGAAGGGAGAGACAATGGATCTTCTGCATGGCAGCCTTTTCTTCAACACTTCAAAAATCGTCTCTGGAAAAGGTGGTTTTAGTTTTACGATTTTAGTTTCAGAGCTTTGTAAGAAGTACTCAATTTGTCACATGTAGTGGTTTGGATACCTTGTAATCTCAACATTTGGGAGGTGTACGTGGGAGGGGGATCAGAAGTTTAGGCCAGCCTCAACTACATACTGAGTTTGAGGCCAGCCTGTGCTATATGAAACCCTATCTCAAAAACTAGAAAAGGTAATCAAATTAAGTATAATATTAAAAAATATCACTGAGCTGGGCAGTGGAGTATGTCTTGTATTCAGGAGGCAAAGGTAGGAAGATCTCTGGATTTGAAGACAGCCTGGTCTACAGAGCAAGTTCCATGACAGCCAACGCTACATAAAGAAACCCTGTCTCGCAGGGCGGTGATGGCTCATGCCTTTAATCCCAGCACTCAGGAGGCAGAGCCAGGCGGATCTCTGTGAGTTTGAGGCCAGCTTGGTCTACAGAGTGAGTTCCAGGACAGGCACCAAAACAACACGGAGAAACACTGTCTCTAAAAACCAGAAAAAAAAAAGAAAAAAAGAAACCCTGTCTCAAAAAATACCAACATACATAAGAAACCCTGTCTCAAAAAATATCAACGTACATATATGTATACATGCATATATATCACTGACATTATGACATAACAATTTAAAGACTCATTTCTGCTTGATTTATTTATTTTGAGATAAAATCTTACCATATGGTCATGGCTAGCTTGGTACTCACACAAATCTGCCAGCTTCTTTCTCTTGAGTGCTAGAATTAAAGGTGTGTGCCACCGAGCCCTGAATAAAGGCTTAATGAATGAATGAATGAAGTCATTAATTAGTTGACTGTTGTTGTTTTTTGTTATTATTGTTGCTTTTTTTTTTTTCAAGACAGGGTGTTTCTCTGTGTAGCTTTGGAGCCTCTCCTGGAACTTCTTATGTAGACCAGGCTGACCTCAGACTCACAGAGATCCATCTGCCTCTGCCTCCTGAGTGCTGGTTAGAGGCATGCAACACCACACTTGGCAAACCTGATTATCATTTTTGTTTAAAGACCATTAAATTATAAAAGGGGAAATTTGCAAGACAAAATAATGCAAAACTCCTTGGGGGCTAGGAAGATGGCTCAGTGGTTAAGATCACTTACTGCTCTTTTAGAGGACCTGGGCTTGATTCCCAGCACCCACATGGTGACTGAAAACCATCTGTAACCCCAGGTTACAGATTAGGTTAACTAAGATCTGATGCTCTCTTCCAGACTCTGAGGCACTGCACACATGTGGTGCACCAACATACACTCACATGGTGGAGACAAAACACTCAAACACATAAAATAGTAAATAAATACATCTTAAAATGACTGGCACTGAAGGTAGTTATTTAATTTAAAAGTGTCCTAGAGAGGCACCATAAACATTTCATATTGACCCAAAACATGTAACTATCCTTATTAATTTGCTGGTCTGTCTATCTATCTATCTATCTATCTATCTATCTATCTATCTATCTATCTATCTATCTATCTTTCTGTCTGTCTGTCTGTCTGTCTATCTATCTATCTATCTATCTATCTACCTATCATTACTATTATTTGCTTTTTTTTAGGGTCTCTCTACATAGTCCTGTCAGTTCTGGAACTCATTATGTAGACCAGGCTGGCTTCAAACTCACAGAAGTCTGGCTGCCCCTGCCTTCCAAGTGCTGGGACTAAAGGTGTGCATCACCATGCCCTGTCTATTTTTAAGATGTTGTGTCTGTATATATATCTGCATGTAGTTATGTGTATATGAGTGCAGGTACCTGTGGAGGCCAAAGGCATTGGATCATCTGCATCTGAAATTAGAGAAAGTTGGAAGCCACCAGATGTGGGTGCTGGGAACTGAACTTGGGTCCTCTAGAAGATCAGTTAGTGCTTTTAACTGCTGAGCCATCTCTCCAGCCCTGAGACCCTGTTTTTGTTGTGGTGGTTTTGTTTGTTTTAGAAGTGTGGTAAAGGACCTTACTACTGAGCCTGATGACCTGAGTTCAATTTCAGGGACCCACGTGGAAGAATGAGAGTACTGACTCAAGGTGGCTCTGTGACCTCCACATGAATGCCATGCCATGGCACACACACATACACACACAAATAAATGAGGATCTGAATGATATGTCTTAAATGTTTACATGCTTAGAGGAACTGCTAATTGAAAGTGTCTAATAATGTTTAATAATGATAAGCAAAGCTGTTTATTAGGGTTGGATATTGTAAGTGAAATAATTTCCAGAGTGATAATTACACTTAGTAAATATCAGTAGTTTATTTACTTGTGTGGGTTAAGATCACACATATTTGTAATACTGAATATGGTTCCTTACAATAATTAGAGGTGAATCTGTTATTGCCTTTAGAATCCTAAAACAGACAAAGAAATTCTAAACTTTTGTTTGTTTTTTGTTTGTTATTTGAGACATGGTTTCTCTGTGTAACAGCTCTGACTGTCTGCAACTCACTCTGCAGACCAGGCTGGCCTCGAACTCACAGAGATCCACCTGCTTCTGCCTCCCGAGTGCTGGGATGAAAGGCATGTGCCACCATCTCCTGGCAAGTTGCAAACGTCTAATTCATTTGGGTGTTGCTAGAAAGCCAGGGTGCTGGAGATGTAGTTCAGTGGTGGCATGGCCATTGGTTCAAATCCCAGCAACAGAAGAAAGCAAAGACAGAAGCCAGAGCGCTGCTGACTTCCTTGCCCCAGGCCTTCCTGGAACGAGAGTTAAAGGGAATAGCAGATGAGGAGGGGGCTTTATGAAAGCTGGCAAGTGGCAACAAGTCTTGTTTGGCTTTATGCAAGATGTTCCAGTGTGGGGAGTCTGTCTGTTTCCAAAACCAGGATGTGGAGGTTAGTCTCAACAGCATGGGATGGACGTTTACAGAGTAAGGCACAGTGGTTGCAGTCCTGATCCAAATACTGCCCTCTGTTTCCTTCTTAGATTACAGTGTAACTGCCAACTCCAAATTAGTTATCGTCACAGCTGGTGCAAGGCAGAAGGTGGGAGAATCGCGCCTTGACTTGGTCCAGCGCAATGTTACTATCATGAAATCCATCATTCCTGGCATAGTCCAAAACAGTCCTGACTGTAAACTACTGATTGTCTCAAACCCAGGTGAGGACCCCATCCCCTCCCTGAATGATAATTGGCCCACACCATTCCACTCGAAACTTCACGAAGGTTGCATTTGTGGGTAATAAGCTTCATTCACTCCAAGTCTGTCAGGCCATAAGTTTTTTGTTTGTTTGTTTGGTTTGGTTTTTCAAGACAGGGTTTCTCTGTGTAGTTTTGGTGCCTGTCCTGGATCTTGATCTGTAGACCAGGCCGGCCTCAAACTCACAGAGATCCACCTGGCTCTGCCTCCCAAATGCTGGGATTAAAGGCCTTCGCCACCTCCGCTGGCACCCTAAGTTTTGATAGATGCCATCATGGTGCCATCACAGTAAGATCTGGAGCATCTCTATCACTGCTGCAGGGCCATGGGCTCATTTGTGGTTCATCCTTCATCTTCCTGCTTGACTCATTTTCTGGGACTTCAGAAACAAAACAAAACAAAACCCAGCAGAGAGTACAAACTTTTTTACACCAGCCCCTTTTACAGCACAGTTAGTTTGGATTCATCTGTGTCTGAGATGTGTCAGGGATTTGTGCCTTTGCATTGCTGGAGTCTTCTGTTGATGTTTCCATGTGTGTGTGGTGGGATGAGCAGATGTATGCACCTGCAGCCCATGTGGAGGAAAGAGGTTGGTGTCTTCCTCCCCTGCTCTCCAGCATCTCTCACTGAACCTGGAGCTTGCCATTTGGCTAGACTCCTGACCACTAGGTTCTTTGGCCTATCGGTCTCTACATCCCCAACCCTTACCTGCCCATTTTATGTACTTATATTTTTAAAAATCAGATCCTATTATAGATGGTTGTGAGCTTCCATGTGGTTACTGAGAACTGAACTCAGGTCCTCCAGAAGAGCAACCAGTGCTCTTAACCGCTGAGCCATCTCTCTACCCCACCCCCATGTTTTACTTTTTACATGGGTACTAGGGATCTGAACTCAGGTCCTCACCCTTGGATAGCAAGCACTCTACCCACTGAGCCATTTCTGCGTCCTGTTTATACATTTCAAATACTCTTTTTTTCACCTGTTGATGTTTATTTTATGTGTATGAATGTTTTGCCTACATGTATGCATGGGTACCACATGAATGCCTGGTAACCATGGAGGCCAGAAGAGAGTGTAAGATCCCCTTGAACTTAAGTTGCAGACAGTTGTGAGCCATCATGTGGGTGCTTGGAACCAAACCTGGGTCCTCTACAAGAGCAGTTCTTAACCACTGAGGCATCTCTGCAGCTCCTGTTGATGTTTGTTTGATTGTTTTTTGAGACAGTGTTTTGGTGTGTAGCTTTGGAGCCTGTCCTGGAACTCACTCTGTAGACCAGGCTTGCCTCAGATCTACCTGCCTCTGCCTCCCAAGTGCTGGGATTAAAGGCTTGCACATCCACTGCCTGGCCCATTCATAGGTTTATAAGGATAATGCAAACATTCATGTGCAAGCATTTGTGTGGTCATACTTCTTCCTTTCTTTGGAGTAAGTGATGGGGGCAGGGAGGCCCAAGTGAGTCACATACTCTGAAGTGTTTGGCTCTGTTAGAACCTGTTTTCAAAGTCCTGTGCTGTAGTTGAAAGATTTCCTGTGTCCCACCCAGCCCATGGTCGGGACAAATCTCTCTCACCCACAGTCCCACAGCCACTTATAAAATAATCACTGAGAGGCTTAGTATTAATTACAAACTGTATGGCCTATGGCAGGCTTCTTGCTAGCTAGCTCTTTTATCTTAAATTAACCCATTTCTATTTATCTATGTATTGCCATGTGGCCGTGGAATTACTGGTCTTTTGGTATCTTGCTCCTTGGGTGGCAGGCTGGCATCTCCTCTGCCTCTGCCTTTCTTCTTCCTGACTCTCTCTTGGATTTCCTGCCTGGCTATAACCTGACTCGCCATTGGCCAGAGTAGCTTCTTTATTAACCAATCATAGCAACACATATTCACAGCATACAGAAAGACATCCCACAGCATTGTGCCTTTGACATTGTCACGAGCACTCTCTGTTCCCTGTGTTCTGACCACCCCTGCTCTTGTTAGCCTTTCAAATGTTTAACTCCAGTGTCTTATTCCCCAGTGTCTTATTTTTGAAATTAGTCTAGCCAGATAGAGCTTCAACATCAAAGCCAAGTTGGCATGAAGTTTCTGTATTGCTCACAAAACTGCAGACTGTTGCGGCTGTGTCCATGCATTATTCCAGGGAACATGTTGATAGCTCAGGTGAGGATGAGCCAATGGAAAGAAGAAATCCAGGGGCTAAAGAGGTGGAAACTGACCCATTATTAGATTTGCTGAAAAGCCCATAGAGTATCTCAGAAGATGCTTTAAGATTCTAATAGTGAATGATTTCACATAAAAAGCCCTACTATGCCAACTTTAAGATTTACTGTACTTTGAACTTTGATGAATTAGCATTTGAGTCCAGACAATTTATCTTTTTATAAAAGCTACGGATCTTTCTCAAACCATGTTTGAAATTGTTCTTCCTAGTGGATATTTTGACTTATGTGGTATGGAAAATAAGTGGCCTCCCTCCAACTCGTGTGATTGGAAGTGGCTGTAACCTAGACTCTGCCCGTTTCCGTTACCTGATTGGAGAGAAGTTGGGTGTCCACCCTGCAAGTTGCCATGGCTGGGTTCTCGGAGAACACGGTGACTCTAGTGGTGAGTGTGACCCAGTTATTGTAAGTGCCTTTCCAGTGTTCAGTAATGCTTCTCTTCAGAACCCATTCTCTGTATAATTTTCATTTTGTTGTTATTTTCTTTGGTGTATGTTTTTTCTATTTGTATGTTTTTCAGACTATTTTAATTGAGTGAGTCATGGTAGTGTCTTCCTGGAATCCCACAATTTCAGAGGTAGAAGCAGGAGGATTGCTAGTGCTAGGCCAGCCTTGGCTACAAAACAATTCCCTGTCTGAAACAGTGGAAAACATTTATTGATGCATAATTATGCATATATGGAGAGTACACTTAGATGATTGATGCATACATATGTAACCTAGTGATCAATCAATGCTATCAGCTTCGTGGTCACCTCATCAATCTATCACTTCTCTGTGATGAGAACATTAAAAACCTATCTAGTTTGACATCTAGACAATCTTTTAAATGTTTTTTATTATTTTAAATTATGTGTATGTCTGTGTGTGGGTATGTGCACCTGAGTAGAGGTGCCTGCAGAGGTCAGAGGTGCTGTATCTCCCTGGAACTGGGGTTACAGGTGGTTGTAAGCTGCCTGATGTGGGTGCTGGAAAGAGCAGAATCTGTTCTTAACCACTGAGCCTTTTCTCCAGCCTGAGACCATACTTGCCCTTTTTAAAGGACAGGTCTCCTGGATGTCAGGCTGTCCTGAACCTTGCTCAGTAGCTAAGGATGACATTGAAGTTTGCTCTCCTGCCTCTATTTCCCAAGCACTCTGTCAGCTAAACTCCGTGCCCAGCACAAGAGCACATAATCACCAACTACAGTCTGCTTACCCTGCAACCGAGCACCAGCACTTGCCTCTCTTCTGCTCAGAAGTGTGTGCTGCCCCAGGGCGCCCTTTCTCCCACCTTCCCTAGTATCTCGTGGCCTCAATTCTACACTTTCTCATGTCTGCTTTTTCAGATTTCATATTTAAATGACATCACTCCCCAGTTGACTGTCTGTGTCTGGCTCATATTGCTGAACATAATTTCCTGTTTAACTCAGGTCATCACAAATGACAAAGTTGGATCCTTTTGAGGCTGAGCAGTATTGTATTACACACACCCACACACTATTCTTTCCATCTGTCTTTTGATGGAATTTTGGCTGACTGTAAGTCTTGGAGGGTACATGTAAGACTGTAGTAAACAGGTGGGCAGCTGTTGTCCTCAATATACTGACCTCAATTTCTTCGGTTGTATGACCTGCCCAGTAATGGGATGCTGGCTCATATGGTTCATTCTAGTTTTAGTTTTTGAGGTATCTCCATGTTGTTTCCCACACATGGATGTGCCAACTCACATTGCCATCACCAGGACACGAGTGTCCCCTTTCTCCACAGCCTTGCCAGCCTTTGTTACCTCTTGTCTTTTTGACAGTTGTCACTCTGATTAGGGAGAGAGGAGTTGCACTGTGAATTTGTTGTTCTGCCTTTAGCTTTATTGGTTGTTTTTTGTTTTTTGAGCAAAGGACTCACTCTGTAGCTCAGGCTGTGTAACTGCTCCCCACTGAAGATCGGCAATACTACGTGCTTTGGCGACACAGAGGCTGTTCTCCTTACCATGTTAAGCATGACTTTGATGTTGGAGGCTGAGGTGATCTTCCTGCCTCAATCTCTCATGTGCTGGGATTATAGGCCAACTCTCATGGTTTTGTTTTGAACTTCCATGTTGAGTGTTGTGAAGCACATTCCATTTTCCTCCTAACAGAAGTACACGTTCAAATTCCTAAACAAATAGTGCATCTATTCTTGTTACTGACATGTCTGAGTTCCTTATGTTCTCTGAAACTTTACCTCTCATCAATCTGTAACTTACAGATGTTTTTTCTGCTCTATACTACACTCCACTCTCTTATTTCTTGATACAATCCCATTCATCTATTTGATGTTTTTTTTCTTGTGTGTGTGTGTGTGTGTTGGTGTGCATGCATGTGTGTAGGTTCAAAGTTGATGTCAGGTGTCTTTTCCCATTACTTTCCACCCTTATTTTGAGTCAGGGTCTCTCAGTGAGCTCTACCAATCCTGGGCAGTCCACAGAGCCACCTTGCCTGGGGATTCCATCTCTGCTCTCTTGTTTATACAGAGGTGTTTTGATTTCATATCCTTGGAAATAGTTTATATGAGTCTATGCGGCTGTTTATTGCTCCTCAGCTCTGTTGCTGTGGGGAAGTGTGGTATATATGTGCAACTCCCTCTCCTCTAATTGATAGCATGTTTCTTAGCAATCCTTTTTCTTTGTAGATTCTGCATTTTGTATATTGCTTTAAAATGTTTCCTGTGCCATACAGCTATAAATAATTCAACTATGTGTTTTCTAATGTTATTTCCTATAAGTCCTCTTTCTGTTCATTTATTTTGGGGGCTGGAGAGATAGCTCAGCAGCTAAAGAGTAGATGCTCATTGCTACCTGTAACTCCAGCCTCAGGGGATCCAACACTCACTTCTGGACTCTGCTGCCATTTATGTGCACAAACCCACATACAGACACACAGGTACACCTCAGTAAAAATCACAACATACAAACAAAAACAATAAAATAGGTCTTAAAAAAACTAGAAACACCCTAACGCCTTGCTTTTTATATGATGTGAGATTACATCTTAACATTAAAATCCAAACAAAAAATACTCCTAGGTGTGCTGGTGAACACTTTGTAATGGCAGCACTTAGGAGGCTGGGACAGAAGGATCAGGAGTTCACAGACATCCTAGGGTACATAGCAAGTTCAACACTCTCAACCAACCAAAGCCGGGGGTGGTGATATATGCCTAAAATCTAATAATTTGGGAGGTGGGGGTGGAGGCAGGAGGATCAGGAGTTGGAGGCCGCCTTTGGCTATCCATTGAGCTTGAGGCTAGCCAGAGTTATATGATACCCTTTCTTAAAAACAAAGAGCAAAGCCTGTCTGTCAACACTAGCCTAGTGTGGGAGCATATGCTTGTCATCCAGCACTCAGGGCAAAGGCAGGAAGACAGGAATTTGAAGACAGCTGGGGCCTTTCTCAAAAGAACCAAACCCAAACAGAATAGAATCCCCTCCCCACCCCCAACAAAACAGCCCAGCACTGAAATCAAGCCACTGACTCAGCTTTGGCAAGAGGAGCTCACATGGAGAGTTGGTTTTTTGTTTTGTTTTTCTTTAGTGCCCTTATGGAGTGGTGTGAATGTTGCTGGCATACCTCTGAAGTCACTGAACCCAGCATTAGGAACGGACTCAGACAAGGAAGGGTGGAAACAGATCCACAAACAAGTGGTGGAAAGGTGACAGAAGTTCTGTGATTTTTAATGCCCCAATCATCATTATTAAGAATAAAGCCAGGCAGTCGTGGCACATGCCTTTAATCCCAGCACTTGGGAGACAGAGGCAGGCAGATCTCTGTGAGTTTGAGGCCAGCCTGGGTTACTGAGTGAGTTCTAGGAAAGGTGCAAAGCTACACAGAAAAACTCTGTCTCGAAAAACAAAGAAACAAGAATAAATTTTGATGGCTGGAGGGATGGCTTAGAGGTTAAAAGCATAGGCTGGTCTTCCAGAGAACCTGAGTTCAATTCCCAGCAACCACATGGCAGCTCACAACCATCTATGATGAGATATGGTGCCTTCTTCTGGTATGTAGGCATACATTCCGGCAGAACACTGCATACAAAATAAATGAGTCTTAAAAAATAAAAGAATAAATTTTGAGCCAGGTGGTGGTGGCACATGCCTTTAATCCTACCACTCAGAAGGCAGAGGCAGGTGAATCTATGTGAGTTCAAGGCCAGCCTGGTCTACAGAACTAGTTCCAGGATAACCAAGACTATACAGAGAAGCCCTATCTTGAAAAGTAAAAATAAAAATAAAATAAAATAAAAGTTAATTCCATCTTGTGGTGCTTATGTCCTAGTATTTTGATTTCATGATACAGATGAACTGATTCTTTTTTGTTCTTTGTCTTGTTTCAAGACAGAGTCTTTCTATGTAGACTAGGCTGACCTAGAACTCTTATAGATCTACCTTTCTCTGCCTCCTAGTACTTGGATTAAAGACATTTGCCACCATGCCTGACTTTTAATTGTTTCAAGTAATAATGACTTATTTTTTTGAGACAGGGTCTTATTGTATATATATGTGTGTATATATATATATGTGTGTGTGTGTGTGTGTGTGCTTATATATACATATATATGTATACAGACACATATATATGTATATGGTTGGCCCAGAACTCACTATGTAGATCAAGTTGGCCTGGAACTCAAGATATTCACCTGTGCTCCACCATGCCTGGCTGAAGTCTATTTTTAAAAATTGTAAGTCATGAACACTTCTAGAAGAACTCTGAGAAAATGTTAATAGCATGGCATAGACAGAGATGCTTCATAAGGGATAGGTGAGCAACAATGTTGTCTCTGAGTTGACCTGTCATGATTTTGATTTCCTTCCTCATGTCATTGCAGTGCCTATGAGATTGTTCGGCTGAAGGGCTACACCTCTTGGGCTATTGGGCTCTCTGTGATGGATCTGGCGGGATCAATGATAAAGAATCTTAGGAGGGTGCATCCCGTTTCCACACTGGTTAAGGTATGCCTGGAGGAAATGTGCATTTATCATATTCCTGGTCACTGGTGAGGTTGAGTGTAAAGTAACTTGAGAATGAGGCAGGCGATGGAGAGTTTGATGCAGGAAGAAGTATTGGGAGAACACAGGAGGGAGGGACCACCCTGCACTCTTAGGAAAGTTGCAGAGTATGAGACTCTGGGCATGTATGGGAAATTGGGAGGCACTGTCAGAGTCTAGAGACCCTGACATGTTTACAGCCAAAGCTCTTCCATTACCATCCACAAAGGAAGCCTCAGCCCTGGAGGGGCGGGGGTGCAGGGCAGGAAGATGGGAAGAGTTCCCTGGGTGTTTCATCTTCCAGGAGTGGCAGTGGGGTAGGTAGTATGGGACAGCAGATGCTGGCTTACGCGGGCAGATGTATAGGCTGACTATAACAGTGTCTCACAGCTGTTTCCATAGCCTTGGCTGTGGGAATGTAGAGAATGTTGAGCCACTGGCTAGAATTCCACAGGCAAGTAATGTAGTGGCTATACCTCTTCCATGTACTGTCCAGCCTGGGAGTTCTAGGGTGGCTCTCCAGGAAAAGTGGCAGTTTAAGGGTACAGGACAGGGTTACATCTCAAGGACATGTCCCCACATACTACCCTAGGCATGCTGGAGTAGTGCTGGGCTCCTCCTTTGGGACTTCACTTCTGGAGGCTTAAGACACTATCTAGCAACTAGTTTCCAGACTCAGTGGTGCCCTCTGTTAAAGGTACAAAGTAGAGGCTTCCTGGTCACCACCCACTTTAGCCTTCCCTGTCCCCTTGGTGTACACAGAGGCTGCTTGCTCTCAGCCCTTCACCAGATAAAAAGGTCACATAAAGATAGCACCACATCCTTCCCTTTTGAAATCAAGGTGGTCTGTTAAGGGAGGGAGGGAGGGAGATTTTACCTTTCCCTAATCCTGGCACATTCTTCTTGTTGGTGGCCACCCACACGGTCCAGGACAAAGATGGCTCTGAGTTCTGCCTCTGCACAGCTCTGCTTGGTGCTATAGTCTACTGCTCATTTTTATTCTGATGCTCTCCTGCACAGTGGCAAGGGAATCAAACAATGATGTGACCTTGTATTTCAGGGCTTATATGGGATAAAGGAAGAAATCTTTCTCAGTGTTCCTTGTATCTTGGGACGAAATGGCGTCACGGACATTGTGAAAGTGAACCTGAACCCTGATGAGGAGGAACTTATCAGGAAGAGTGCAGAAACACTCTGGAACGTCCAGAAGAACCTGGAAATATGAAGTCTCAACATTCTACACTTTTACAGATGTGTGGTTGCATATTTCACCTTTCAAGTGTTTCCGTATAATAAAAAGTTAAACAAAATATTGGAGACCTATGACATAACAGCAGTCTCTTGAGGTCAGAAAGATAAGTGCTGAAGACATTTCTTCCTCCCCTTTCTTTTGAGACAGGGTCTCACTATAGAGCCTGGCTGGCCTGGAACTCTAGACCTGGCTGGCCTCAGAGATCTTGTAAGCCTTGAAGTGCTGGGATTAAAGGCATGTACCACCATGCCCAGCTGAAATGTCTGCCTTTTATGAATCCTGTGTCTGTTCTAGCAATGAGGTCCGTACAGGTTGGAATTATGATTCCGAGACACCAATGAGTGAATAGCTCTCAACTTCCACAGCGCACATGTGACACAGGAAATCCTCCTTCTAGCCTGAAGTTTCACAGTGTGTCTCTTTCATTGCATCACATTGCTTAATTAGTTCCCATGTCTGTGTATACTCTTTACTAAATATAAGATCATACATATCAAGGGCCTGGAGATATGGCTCAGTGGTTAAGGCACTTGTTGCCTTTCCAGAGGACTCTGGTTTGGTCCCCCCGCACCCACATGGATCTCCAGTTCCAGGAGATCTCACTCCATCTTCTGCACTCTCTGATCACCAGGCACACACACATGCAGATGAAACATTCACAGACAACAGAAAACAATAAAGCTTTAAAAAAAACAACCATGTGGGCTGGAGAGATGGCTCAGCAGTTAAGAGCACTGGCTGGTCTTCCAGGGTCCTGAGTTCAATTCCCAGCAACCACATGGTGGCTCACAACCGTCTGTAATGAGATCTGGCACCCTCTTCTGGCATGCAGGCAGAACACTGTATACATAATAAATCTTAAAAAACAACAACAACAAAAAAAAACGACCATATATATCAGAAGGAAAACAGAGATACAACTTTTGAAGTGGGGTAGGGCTGGGTGCGGTGAGACCAGCGCCCAGGAGGCAGAGGAAGGGGGTTTGTTTAGCACACTACTAACTGCATCACCATGCTTTGATTAGGACTCTGTCCCAGTGAGCTGCAGTGTTTAGTGTGCGTCAACTAATTCATCGCTAATGTTAGAAAAGTGTCAGTCACTTCCTCTTGACATTCAAGGTGGAAGTGCGTGTGCTCTTCCTGATTTACACATGCACGCCATTTCCTTGATTCCATGAAGAATTTGAGGCAGATGTTGGAAACATACGAAGAAAAACTAAGAAACCAAGTGCAAGGTGACATACTAATAGAACGGGACTCCTCAGACAACAAGATAGACGCACAGGCCCTGAGGATGCCTGTGTTTTAGGGATACTCACACTGGGTCAATCACCTTTTGGCTGCTCAGCCCTCTACTACTATCTAGATAACCCTCATAGCCTTGTAGTCCTGTCGTCCTGACAGTGTTCATTAGTCACCTAGTGAAGATTCCATTATTTTCTTCCTGGAATGAACAACATATAGTTATTAAAACAGGTGGAAAGAATTCCCCCATGGGCTTTGTCATTTTAATGACTTATTTTCACTGTGTGTCTGTGTGTGAGTGGATGTGTGCACTTGGGCTTGCTTGCCTGTACACACACCATATGCATGCCAGGTAAGTGAAGAGGCGTGAAGAGGCCAGGAGAGCAATGTCTCTCCTGGAGCTAAAGTTTCAGGAAATCATGAGCTACCTGATGCCGGTGCTGAGACCACAACCCAGATCCTCTATAAGAGCAGCCAGTTCTCTTTAACTGCCAAACCATTTCTCCTGTCACTTAAAAACTCCTTTTGTCCACCAAATTAAAACTTCACTTTAGGATGAGCCCTGATTGACTATCCAATACCTAATGCTCAGTCCTTAAAAAACACACAAGCAACCCATCGAGTTGTGTAGCCAGGTTTCTTAGGTCCTGCAGCAGTCCTGCAGCTGCTTATAAAATAATCACTCAGAGGCTTCATATTATTTACAAACTGTATGATCTATGGCAGGTTTCTTGCTAGATAGCTCTTTCATCTAAAATTAACCCATCTCCATTAATCTATGTTTTGTGACGTTACCAATCTGCTGGCATCTTGCTTCTCTTTGGGTGGCGGCTAGGCATCCCCCCTTACTTTCCTTTTACTGTCTCTCTTGCATTTTCCCACTTCCATCCTGCCCTGCCATAGGCCAATGCAGCTTTATTTATCAACCAATCAGAGCAACACATATTCACAGTGTACAGAAAGACATCCCAGAGCAGGGTTGTATTTTATGTGTAGTAACAATGATTAAAGAAGAGAAGGCCTGGGACTGTGGAGACATGGCTCAGCTATGGTTTTCAGCAGCCACATGTGGTTCACGACTGGCTGTAACTCCAGTTCTGGGGGCTTGGATGTCCTCTTCTGACCACCTGCAGTCACTGCATCACGGTTATGTGTTCATGCAAGCAAACACACACCCTCATTAAAAACAAAACAAAACAAAACAAAACTTTTTAAAAATCTTTTTTTTAAGTCAGGCAGTGGTGGCGCACGCCTTTAATCCCAGCACTTGGGATGCAGAGCCAGGCAGATCTCTGTGAGTTCGAGGCCAGCCTGGTCTACAGAGCGAGATCCAGGACAGGAACCAAAACTACACAGAGAAACCATGTCTCAAAAAACCAAAATATAAATAAATAAATAAATATATATTTTTTTTTTAAAGGAGGCCATGACTTTGGGAGTGGCCCAGTAAGGAAATGTAAAAGGGAGAAGAGGAAGGGGAAATGGTGAACTGAAATTTTATTATATTTTAATTAAATGCAAAAATCTTAGCTATAAGGACTTGGCTCTACTTGAGAAAATGTTGCTTAATATTCAATTTTCCAGGAGTTGAGGGATGGGTGGTTGTGAGCTGCTGGACAGGGATGCTGGCACTGAACTCTGCTCCTCTGCAAGAGTAGTGCACTCTGGTGGCTGGTTTTATGTCATCTCCACACAAGCTAGTTATCTGAGAGCAGGGAACCTCACTTGAGAAACTGCCTCCATAAGATCAGGCTGTAGGCAGGCAAGCCTGTAGTGCATCTTCTTAAGACTGACGTGGATGGTGCCATCCCTTGGCTGGTGGTCCTGGGGTCTATAAAAATGCAGGCTGAGCAAGCCACAATGAGCAAGCCAGTAAACAGCAATCCTCCATGGCCTCTGCATCAGCTCTCGACTCCAGGTTTCTGCCCTGACAACCTTTGATGATGAACAGTGATGTAGAAGTGTAAGTCAAACACACCCTTTCCTCCTCAACTTGCTTTGGTCATGGTGTTTTATCGCAGCAGCAGTTACTAACCCTAACTAAGACAGAAACTGATACCAGGATAGTGGGTATGGTTGTGACAGACCTGACTATGTTATTGTGGAAAGATTGTGGAAGGACTTGGAAACTTTAAGAGCTAGAAAAGCCACCGAGTGTTGAGAGCTCAGTAAGCTGCTCTGTAGGAGCTTGGAAGATAAGAATGTACAGTGCCATCTGGACAATGGAGGTCTGGCTTGTGATGTTTTAGAGCAGTGGTTCTCAACTTTTCTAATGCTGCACCCTCATGTTGTGGTGACCCCCAACCATAAAATTATTCTCATTGCTACTTCGTAACTGTAAATTTGCTGTTATGAATCATAATGTAACTATCTGATATGCAGCCCCCCAACAGGATCACAACCCACGTGTTGATTTGTATGAGGAATCCATGGTGTCTGGTGAGCTGGAGCTGAAGAATCAACTTTGATTAACAGGAAACCAGAACCACCATTTGTTGAGGCAATGGATGCTAGTCAGTTTTTTTTCTTTTTCTTTTTGATGTTTTAAGACAGTTTCTCTGTGTAACAGCCCTGGCTGTCCTGGAACTCACTTACTTTGTAGACCAGGCTGGCCTTGAACTCACAGAGATCCACCTGCCTCTGCCTCCCAAGTGCTGGGATTAAAGGCATGCTCTATCACTCCTGGTCTCAGTGGTGATTTCTTAAGAGCTTAGCATAATTGAAGTGAAGTCTTCTGGGAAGTGTTTCCTCAGGGTCAGCACACAGAAGCTGTGTTCCAGAGGTGGCTGACATTGTATTTCATGTTGATAGCTGAACTTGGTAGTATATAAGAGTCACTTAGATGGTACTGGTTTTCAAGTCATAAAAGGGTCATGGAGAGCAGCTGAGGCTTGACACTGTGACAGGGCTGGAGTCCCGAAGAAAAGCCCAGAAGAGACTTTGGTGAAAGTACAGCCCAATTGCTGTAGAAAACCTAGCAGTTGGGTTGTCAGATGTCAGTACCCTAGGATGATCACCAAGGTGGACAGATGAAGGCAGAGTGGAGTGTGTGTGAGCCTAGGAGAAAGCTGTGTGGGCTGCAGAGGGTGGAGCTGGACCCAGGCCCTTTAGAGGAGCCCAGAAGATCGTGAGTGAAACCCAGACAGGGGGCATTAAGTGATTTACACTGTTGGGGTCTAGTTTTGTTTTGTTCAGATTGTGACTGTGCATTAGTGTAGGATAAAAAGGGCCAAGGGAAAAACACCCTGCCCCAGACCAGACCCCAGGACTAGGGTTTGAAATCTCACCAAGTCCTGAGCTTGCTCCACAATCAGACCACAAAACCCGCCAATCCCAAGCCATCCTGGAAAGCCCCAACCCCCAAGAAAACCTATATAAGCTCTTACCCTGTTCAATTTGCTGCTGCTTCTCACCTTAGAGGCAGCTACCCTCATGGATTCTTCTTTCCCACTAAATCTCTTAAGTGAGGTTTGTTGTGCAGTGTGACACTTTCGCCTTGGAGGAGCCCAGCTTTAACAACTTTTGCTGGAGCAGAGCTGTAACAACTTTGCTCAGGAAACCCTCCCCTGCCTGAGCAATTGTTACCCTTGCGTTGGGGAAACCTCTCCACGGAGCAGAGCTCTAACAACTTTGCTCAGGAAACCCTCCCCTGCCCGAGCAGTTGTTACTCTTGCGTTGGGGAAACCTCTCCACCGAGCAGAGCTGAAAGTGGCTATGTTTTCAATGACTGTGGCATTCCTTGGCTCCCAGTTGCCAGGATAGCTTTCTATCCGAGCTGCAACACTTACAACTAGTCCTTCCCTCTTGAAATAAGAAAGTAATTTATTTTGATTTACAGGAGCCCATAGTTAAGAGACTTTTTTGTTTGTTTGTTTTCGAGACAGGGTTTCTCTGTGTAGCTTTGGAGCCTGTCCTGGATCTCACTCTGTATACCAGGCTTGCCTCGAACTCACAGAGATCTACCTGCCTCTGCCTTCTGAGTGCTGGGATTGAAGGTGTGAGCCACCACAGCCAAGATGAGACTTTGATCTTTCGAGACAGGGTTTCACTATGTAACAGCCTTGGCTGTCCTGGAACTCACTTTGTAGACCAGGCTGGTCCCGAACTCAGAGACATTTGCCTGCCTGTCTCTCAAGTGATGGGATTAAAGGTGTGCACCATCACCCCTGCTAGAGATCTTGGAATTTTAAAGAGACTGAGTTTTAAAGTGTTTGAATTTGTAAAGACTGTGGGCCTATTAAGTTTGTAATGTTTTATAGTTTGATATTTATTAATATGTGATTTGAGGATGAACAAGAAAGGA